GTGGGTCATCCTGATATTTCCTGGTAAAGGAAATGAATGAGTCAAAAGAATAGGAATTTCTGATTGGTGAGAGATCAGAGCTGAATGTGATCCAACCAGTAAAAACAGAAAAGAAAACATTGAGAAAGATCAAGTGCAATAGATTCTGACATCAGAGCAGGTCTTTGAGAAAGGCTTGAGCCACAATGTGATAAAGAGAAGACAAAAAAAGAAGAAGGAAGAAAGAATAAGCAGAGTTCTTCCTGGTGATTCAAGTCATGACTAGCACATACCTCAAGATTCCAAATCCTACTGAACCCTCTGGAATGGCTGAAGGAAGGAAATTCTCCTCCATCCACACACCAACAAATCCAGAGGATTTCCACCGGGTATGTGACAGCTCAACTCTCATCATGGACAAAGACTTGACATGATTCCTGTAGGCATTCCATCCAAACTCTTAGCCCTAGAAGACTGGACAGAAAAACTTTTCTCCTTCTCTGAATAGCCAACCATCCATCACCTTCATATTGTGTCCACTTGTGTTCACCCTTGCTGATAACGTCATTGAATGCCAACTTTGTAGGCGTCAATTTGTCCTATCAATGGAAGGTGTTCAGATCAACGTTCAGTTCTATGTCAGCTCATGGTCAGTTCACAAGAAGGTGTCCCCCTTTTCTCTTCACCACTGCATCAGGTTCAGGGTGTAATATACTGTACATACCTAGTAAATACTAAGAGACATCTTCTTAAATCTTCAAAATATTTTTAATAATTATTTTCTCCTACTTAAGATCAAAAAACTAAAGATACTTGTTTACCAATTATATCTCAATTGAAAAAACAAAAACAAGGGACTTCCTTGGTGGTCTGATAGCTAAGAATCCACCTTCCAATGCAGCGGACATGGGTTTAATTCCTGGTCAGAGAACTAGGATTCCACATGGTGTGGGGCAACTAAACCCTCACACAATAACCAATAAGCCCTCACACCACAACTGGAGAGAAGCCTGCAAGCCACAACTAAGACCCAATGCAAAACTCAATAAATTAAGAAAAAGCTGCCCTCCTTAGCTGAAGGAGGAATGTATTCCAGTGAGGGGAGACAGCAATAAGATAATATACATGAGTATGAAAAAAATATCTGTTTGCTCTGGGTTATACTCAGAGATTTCCATTCATCCCCTTTATCTTTTGGGGCCTCTATTCCTCATCTATATTATGAGGAAATACGATCTTCATTGTATCAGATGGAGAGATGCTTTGGGGAAAAAAGCCTTGCCTTCAGCATAATCAAAGTGGATGTCTGCCTCTGTTTTTGAAGATCCAAAACCACTTTAACAGCAATATTAAACAACTCAACACTGAAGACATAGGTGAAATTGAGAAGACTAAACAACTGAAGAAAGAACTTTTATCGTTTATGAAGTATTCTAGTTTATGTGAGAATGTCCCGGGGAGTTTTCAAGGTGATCTTTTGTGCTGAAACTTTTTCAACCTAAAACTGCTACATATGGCAAAACAAATGGTAGCCTTCATTTGAAGACATGAGCTCTTTTTGAACCAAATTGATGTGAAGCATATGATCCTTTTGGGGGAAAAAGGAGGGGCGGGTAGATTATTTCTGATTTAAAACAAACAAATTTACCTTTCACCCCTAGCATTCTGGCACTGCCTCCTCCAAAACTTGCAATGGAATTTGCCCCAAGACATATTTCTTCAACTCCCTAGTTCCCGGCAGAAGCAAGGAAGAGGGAGGTCTGGGTGTGCAATACAACAGAGAAACTGAATCTTAAAGAACAAGGATCCAACCCAGTTCTGCCCCTCTGCTTCCCAATTCTTTCCTCCTGCTTTCTTCCTCTTCTCTCTGAACCAGAATTTTTTTTACATCTGATTCTCTCTAGTCTTAGGGCTTCCTGGTGGCTCAGACAGTAAAGAATCCACCTGCAATGCAAGAGACTTGGGTTGGATTCCTGAGTACTGGTCAGAGAACTAGGATTCCACATGGTGTGGGGCAACTAAACCCTCACACAATAACCAATAAGCCCTCACACCACAACTGGAGAGAAGCCTGCAAGCCACAACTAAGACCCAATGCAAAACTCAATAAATTAAGAAAAAGCTGCCCTCCTTAGCTGAAGGAGGAATGTATTCCAGTGAGGGGAGACAGCAATAAAATAATATACATGAGTATGAAAAAAATATCTGTTTGCTCTGGGTTATACTCAGAGATTTCCATTCATCCCCTTTATCTTTTGGGGCCTCTATTCCTCATCTATATTATGAGGAAATACGATCTTCATTGTATCAGATGGAGAGATGCTTTGGGGAAAAAAGCCTTGCCTTCAGCATAATCAAAGTGGATGTCTGCCTCTGTTTTTGAAGATCCAAAACCACTTTAACAGCAATATTAAACAACTCAACACTGAAGACATAGGTGAAATTGAGAAGACTAAACAACTGAAGAAAGAACTTTTATCGTTTATGAAGTATTCTAGTTTATGTGAGAATGTCCCGGGGAGTTTTCAAGGTGATCTTTTGTGCTGAAAGTTTTTCAACCTAAAACTGCTACATATGGCAAAACAAATGGTAGCCTTCATTTGAAGACATGAGCTCTTTTTGAACCAAATTGATGTGAAGCATATGATCCTTTTGGGGGAAAAAGGAGGGGCGGGTAGATTATTTCTGATTTAAAACAAACAAATTTACCTTTCACCCCTAGCATTCTGGCACTGCCTCCTCCAAAACTTGCAATGGAATTTGCCCCAAGACATATTTCTTCAACTCCCTAGTTCCCGGCAGAAGCAAGGAAGAGGGAGGTCTGGGTGTGCAATACAACAGAGAAACTGAATCTTAAAGAACAAGGATCCAACCCAGTTCTGCCCCTCTGCTTCCCAATTCTTTCCTCCTGCTTTCTTCCTCTTCTCTCTGAACCAGAATTTTTTTTACATCTGATTCTCTCTAGTCTTAGGGCTTCCTGGTGGCTCAGACAGTAAAGAATCCACCTGCAATGCAAGAGACCTGGGTTGGATTCCTGAGTTGGGAAGATTCCCTAGGGGAAATGCCTACTCACTCCAGTATTCTTGCCTGGAGAATTCCATGGGCAGAGGAACCTGGAGAGCTACAGTCCTTGGGGTCACAGGAGTCAGACACTAAGTGACTAAAATACACACACACACACACACACACACACACACACTCTCCAGTCTTGCTCCTTCATATTCTTTGATTTATAGCTTCAATAGTGGCCTGAAACAGGCCGTAGAAAGGTTTACTGAAAGAGAAATGGATTCCCTTAGATGTTCAAGAAAGAAAGGTTATTTTCTGCACCCTACAGGCCAGGCAAAGGATCCACCTGGGAAAGAAACACTCTACATACGACCAGATCCCTTTCTAGAATCCCTTAAGAAGACGGTCCTATTCAGTACCTATTTAGTTGTCAGTGTCTGTGAGCATTTCCAAAGGTCTGTCATTAAAAAGGCTGGAAATTTCCCCCAAATCTTTTCCCCCACCCCTGCTTTGGGCAGATGGTCTATGGACAGAGGAAATAGAGAGGGTGGTTTAAGACTCAAACCAGCCTACATAATCTCCAGTAGCCCATCTGTGACTCAAACTCTGGTTAGAAGAAAGGTGAAACTTCCCTTGGGTGAAATGGTTGCATTGTCTGTACACTCGGTTTTCACCTTAACTTTCGTCATCAAAGCATCTACTACAGGCCCATTGGTGCTTAATCAAGAGTTAGGCACTGAGGATTAACTAGAAATATTCCAACTCAGAATTCATTTGCTTCCCAGTGGTTAGGACTCCACACTTCCATTACAGGAGACAGGGGTTTGATCCCTGGTCAGGGAACTAAGATCCTGCAAGCAGTGCAGCCCAGCCAAAGCAAATAAATAAATAATTCCCAGTTAGCTTTGTGACTCACACATTCATGAGATCTGAGTCTTGAAATGACAGGACTGGAAGTGGTACCAAAAGTCATACCATTTTTTAAATCATTAGAGTGGACACTATACATTATTAAGCTGCCACTCCTATTGAATTGCAGTGAAACCAGTCCCAGAGCCCATTAGTTGATCCCAGTGGACATCTATTAATATCTTAAAATAGAAGAGTCTACTGAAATGGAAACAGAAACGTCCGTTAATTACAGAGTTTGTTTATGCAAGTTGAGGTCTTTGGATTTGGCCTGCTGATTTTAATGCCTTCTCTGCCATCTCTACTAAAAAGCTGTAAGAAGTAGACCTCCATTGTTGTCGCTTAGTCGCTAAGTAGTGTCCAACTCTTTGCAACGCTATGGACTGTAGCCCGCCAGGCTCCTCTGGACATGGGATTTCCCAGGCTAGAATACTAGAGTGGGTTGCCATTCCTTCTCCAGGGGATCTTAACAAACCAAGGATAAAACCCAAGTCTCCTGCTTTGCAGGCAGATTCTTTATGGCTGAGCCACCAGGGAAGCCCTGGGCTGATACTCAGGAACCTTTTATTATTTATCTCAGGCATGAATATATATTTAGAGTTTTTATTTTGTGAACATCTAATAAAATAATATCTAAAGACCCAGGAATGTCAGCACAACAGATAAGTTTGTTTCTCAGATATACTAGATATTCTGTAAATATGATCATTTCCTTTCAAAATGAAACACAATAATTGCCTCTAAAGAGTATCATTTTTTTTTCACCGTCAATCTGCTGTGCGGCATCACCCCATCTAGTAAGACTTTATCTCTAACAGAAGAGAATTTTAAGGTTGGCTGTGACAATGAAACAAAAAACCAGAACTACTGAGGATTCCAAAGAGCCTTCTTCTAAAACTGATCATATTATGTGCTTAAGTATTTCTGTTGTACCTTTAAACTAAAGAACTATAAGAAGGTTTTGCTTTGTTTTTGGCAATTTGCATTAGCGTTTTTATGTATGGTCTTCTGTTCCTTTTAATAAAATCATGCTACTCCATTTAAAAAATATTTGCCATAAAATATGTGTTTCACCATGTTTTTGTTTTCTAAAATCTTTAAAGGTTTTACTCCATGATCTCCATTATTCATACCCTTGGAATAAATTACTCCAATCAGACCACATAGGGAGAAAAGTTCACTCCTGATTACAAAAGGATTGGTCCAAGAGGTAAAGTATTAATCAATGTTATTATACTTCTTAACAATTCCATTTTCCTTGTTAAAATGCATACTCCCATCAGGCCAAGTGAAAACAGGATTTCCATCAGTCACTCACTTCTGTACTCTTTGGTTTCTGCTGAAATCTAGGGTCCCCAGTGGTTAATATGAATGGCTAACCTTACACCCATCTCCCATGTCCCCTTGATAGCTTTATCTAGCTATTATAATTTGTCATTGTCAAGCCATTAGACCTTTGGCTTTGGTCTTATTTTTCCTGCAGGTATCAAAAATGCAAAACCACAATTTATAAATATGAGATGACAGAATCCCATTTACACTGTTTCTAAAATGCCAAAAGTTAACTTTATTGAAAATATCATAAACTTCTCTCCAAACTAGTTGCACAAGTTCCAGGGTGGTCTGAAGAGTTGATTCAGAAAATAAATGCCACCACAGCAACTTAAAATTCTTAAGGCCAAACATCCAGATGTGTCAATAATCTGCGTAAATTAGAAACAGATGTAAGCCCTTGTTGAAAAATAAATATAATAGAATTATTTCCTTTTGCCTCCTTATGCTTTCACACACTTGAATTTATTCCTTCCACATTTTTTTTTGAGTGAGTATGTTCAGATTTAAAAGCAAAATTCATTTCTATTCTTCACACGGGGATGTAGCAATATATTAAGTTCTCTAGAAAAAGAAAATAACATCAATTTGGTACCTTGTTTCATGCCCAGTGGAGCTAATCCAAGCACAGAGGCTCTCTGGACTTAGTTGGCGATCCACATTCCAAAACTTCTGGGATATATTCTGGATTACTATAGACATGAAAAGTAATTGCCATCATGAAACCTACTCTTTGTTCACTTAAGGTTACCCTAGTTAGAAGACAAAATAAACATTTAAAACATGGTAGAATTATATTACCAACAGCTTCTACTTACCTTCATTTGATGTAATTATAGAATTGTTGTTAGAGTTAAGAAAAGATTTTTGTTGTTTTAACATTTTTTTAAGGAGTGAACTTGCTGCTTAGGTCCCATCAGTATAAGCTGGGTGGGGGTGAGGGACACATGGGGACCAACAGGACGTTTTGTGAGAAGAAATAGATGGTTGCTGGTGGACGGAGGTTTGCAAGACAGATATTAGAGACTTGCATTTCCTCAGAGGATAAAAACCACAGCCAACTGCACAAAGTTGTTTATTACACCACTGAGATCAATTAGAAAACTTCTAGTGTCTACAGGGCTCTCTTCTAGAACCCTGGGGCCATTTTGTCTCTATCCTATGGAATCTAGGGAGGTAAATTCAGCTACTTACAAGCTCTCCAAAAAATAGCTTAAACAAAATGAGCCAGTTCCCAGTTCACCTCCTTACTCTCAAACAACATTCAATATAATAATAGTAATAATAATAATAACAACAAATTTCTTAGCATGCAGAAAGTATGCATACTAAGTCACTTCAGTCAAGTCCAACTCTTTGTGACCCCATAGACTGTAGTCGACCAGGCTCCTCTGTCCATGGGATTCTCCAGGCAGGAATTTGCCATGCACTCCTCCAGAATTCTGTAATTAGTCAAGTGTCAATAGTTAATTCTTCAGTGATCTCCGAATTTTCTGGAGTTATTGACCCCAATAATTCAGCCATACCTGGATGCATGAAATATTATAGTGATTACACTGATCATTTAGTGTCTAGGGCTAGACTGTATTAACAAAAAACCAGCATTTTCATTTTGGCTTCTGAAAATTTTGACCCTAGCTAAAATAATAAAATGAACATGGTTTACCTTCAATGCTATTAATCTGTTGTGCTCCCTCTCACTCCAAAGGAAAAGCCTACTAGATTCTATCCATTCTCCCCTGTTCCTTATTACCAGAACTACTGGGGAAGGGAGGAGGTGCCCAGTTCAGAAAACTACCTTTCTTGGGTCTTTAGCAGATAGCATGTTATTAGGTAGAATGTTGGAGGAAACTCTTAAAAAAAGAACTGTCTCAATGAGCAAATCCCCTTTGCTCATTCCCTTTCTCCTCTTTTTTCCTACCTGAATCAGGGATGTGATGGCTGGAGCTCCAACAACCATTCTGTGAGACTGAAAGTAAAAGCAGAAGCCTGGTCTCTAGCAACATCACAGGGCTGCCGTGAAACAGACCAGTTTGACTACCTCTGGACTTGTCACTAAATTAGATAAATATAAGCCCTCAGTTTGTAGAGGACACCATATCACAGTTTTTGTTAGCAGTTGTAGAATGTAATTTCTGATATATTCTTTGAGAAGTTTCTGTTCTAAGGCCTGCCTGGGTTCCACCCAGCCTATTACCCACCAAGCAGTCTATCATCCACTTCTACCTTTCAGGAGATTATTACATTTTCCATTTGTGTTTAGATCTTATCTCCACCAAACTCTTCTCTGTTAAAGAAAAAGAAATTGTTTTCAACCTCTTGAAGATGACTTTGGTGCTTTCACTATTTTGTATTTATCTTGGAATGTATAAGCCACCTCCTTTACAAAAGATTTACACAAAGCAGTTTATCACGTAGCTAATCTGATTACTTAATATGGGTTTTTGGGCAGAAAGAAGAAGTTGTGCTAGAAAATAGATACAAAAGAAAGGTATCAAGACTGTTGTCTTATGCCAATAATCACTAAAGGGGTATAAATAGAATTCTTTCCTATCTAAGTACCCTTATATAAACAAATAAGGAATTTTTTAGAGTTTTAAACAAACATTTGGTGAAGATGATCTAAATAGAGTGGGATTAAATAACCACAGCAAAATTTAAAAACTGTTGATTTCTTTGGGGGCCAAAACACAGCAAAGTAAAAGAATTTTAGAATCCCCTTTCTCCAAAACATGGCTTTCTTCTTTGGAAAACCCATTCCCTGCTGAAGTGGCTTCTTCATTTGCCCTGTTTATTATTATTATACTGTCAATGAGTTGGATGAAAGGCACTTACAGGCGTGTGAAATTGTTTGGGTTAAGCCTCTGATGTTCAGGGCTGTTCACACTGACCCCATCTGAAAAGCTGGCCGCTGGCTACCAAAGCAGCCCTCTCTCTGGGACTCTTCCACCGTCTTCTTTTCAAAGACAATTTATACCTCTCTTCTGCACCTGACCCTGCTAAGAAGGAAACAGACACTCATCTCCAATCTTCTTCCACAAAGCTCTTCTTCTCTTATCCTCTTGGCCAGATTAAAGCTTAAACCAACCAGAGGACTGGGCACCAATGCTTCTTTTTAGTTTCCCTTGCAACTCTGTAAACTGAGTTTCTGTCTTTAACAGCCTATGTATTGACCCTTCAGCAATTTAGGGAAGAAATGGAGGAGAGAAGGTGGGTGGGAGAAAGTGAAGGAAAAAAACCATGCCTGAAAAACAAATTTGCTACTATTGAATCAGAAGAATTGCCTCCCAAAAGTTGTAACTCACTGAGCTAAGTGATTCTGTCTTCCTAGTCAGCAAAGGCAAGTAGCCAAAAATACACACCTGCCCACAGGTAAGAAATTTAATTATTCCCAGGACTATGGACATCGTGAATGTCACATGCAAGCCCATAGCCTTTGTTTTCCACAGTTGCATGGCAATGCTCTCAAGCAGATTTCCTGCTCCCTCTCCACTATCATTTCACAAAGTATGTGAGGAAATTCTGAACGCTCAGAGAAGTCAGAGGTTGAAAGGCCAGGAGAATTAACTGTGCCACTGTCTCCTCTCTGAAATCTTCCAGTTTTTCTTTGGGCAACTCTGATGCACAAATCTGTTGGTATCGCATCTTTAGTATCTCTTACAGAACATTTGCCTAAAATAGGTATATTCTGATATTTTGACATGTGTTCATGTATCAAAAGAAGTATGTGTGTGCTCAGTCATTTCAATCGTGTCCTACTCTTTGTGACCCTATGAACTGTAGCCCCATCAGGCTGCTCTGTCCATGGGATTCTCCAGGTAAGAATACTGGAGTGGGTTGTGTGCCCTTCTCCAGGGGATCTTCCCGACCCAGGGATTGAACCCCCATTTCCTGTGTCTCCTGCATTGGCAGGAGGATTCTTTACCACTGAACCACCAGAGTAGCCCATCAAAAGAAGTACGGATTATAATTATCAATGCTATTTCTATTTTAAAAAATCTTTTTGTTTTGTATTAGGGTATAGCCAACTGAAAACAATGTTGCGATCATTTCAGGTGAATAGTAAAGGGACTCAGCCATACATACACATATATCCACTCTCCCCCAAACCCCTCTCCCATCCAGGCCGTCACATAACATTAAGCAGAGTTCCACATGCTATACAGTAGGTCCTTGTTGGTTATCCATTTTAACTATAACGCTATTTCCTTTTTAACTTAAATGGTTTCATCACAAGTTGATGATACCATGCACACCACCTCTACTTTTGCCCCATAATAGAAAAATCTGTATTGATGACTCTCAGATCTCAATCTCCATTCTGTTGAGATACATCTATACCAAGAAGTGACATAGCACAGTGATCATATGAACAATTTCTGGAGCCAGACTGCTTCGGGTTGAATCCAGCTCCTCTATTAAATAACATTGTGACTTTGCATAAATTATTTATGCTCTGCCCCAGCTTCTTCATCCATAAAATGGGGGTGATATCATATTTTATCAATTCTAGAAAGAACATTTTAGCATCTTTCACATCAAGATGTGTCTTAAGATAGATCTGACAGAAGAAACCAGCCATCCTTGTTAGGATAGTTGTGAGAATTCAGTCAGTTAAAATATACAGTTAACCGCAGTATTTGGCACATAACACTAACCAATGCTATCATATTAATGGATATATCCTTTTGAAATTTTAGGCATCACAAATTCATGTTCCCTTCAAACAGGCTTATTACCCTATATTCTTATTTAATGCCAGTAACACAAGCCAGAAATATGGAACTCATCACTGATTTTTTTCTTCTCTTTCACCTTCTGCATCTAACCACTTAAAAAGTTCTCTTAGTTTTCTAGTGTAAATATCCCTCACCTTCCCTCTTCTTTTTTTGCCTCACTTCCCAGCATTCAGGAACTTAGTTCCCCAGCCATGAATCGAACCTGTGGCCCTGCAGCAGAAGTGCAGTTTTAACGCTGGTCTGTCAAGGAAGTCCCTCATTCTCTTCTTGCCATGCCATCTTCTTGGGCCTAGAACATGGCAGCTTCCAACCAAAACTAGGCTTTGTCTTTGCAGTTATCTTTCTAACATGGAAATCAGATCAGAGTTCTCTCTGATTTTCAAGGGCTTCCCACCCCTACAACACGAAGTCCAAACCCCTCCAAATCCTGAGTTGTGAGGCTGGCTTCTAGATCTCAATCAGTCTCCCGCTCTGCCACAAGCCATCTCAACATCTTCACAGGTCACGTGCCACTCCCCAAACTTCCCATTGATTAGTCTCTGGGTTCTTACCTCTGTCTGCAACAGACTTTTCGGCTTACCCTCATCCTTCGAGACTCTTGAGACTCTAGGAGAGCTATGGTGATCTTTCTCTCATCTCCCCTTCCTCATGTGAAAGTGAGTGTTAGTCGCTCAGTCATGTCTGACTCTTTGCAACCCCATGGACTATAGCCCCCCAGGCTTCTCTGTCCATGGAATTCTCCTGACAAGAATACTGAAGTGGGTAGCCATTCCCTTCTCCAGGGGATCTTCCAAACCCAGGGATCAAACCCAGGTCTCTGGCATTGCAGGCAGATTCTTTTACTTTGAGCCACCAGGGAAGCCCCTCTGCCCCATAGGTACTTATATATACCCTTTTGTGGGGTCTCCTATCACCTTTCTATTTCTACTCTATTTCTCAAATGCTTAATCTATTTATCTCCCCTAGTGGACAGTGACTATTTTAAGATTATATTTCTTTATCCTGGACAACCTTTCCTGGCACATAATAGATAATTGATACATAGTTGTTAAATGGATGAAAGAATAAATGTAACCATGTGTTTATCATTGTATGTGACAATATGTTGAGAAATACATACTGGGGGCAAAATCGAGACAGAGAATAACATAGAGAAATAAATCCAAAGAAATCTTTCTCATTAGCAGCAAAAATCAGCTCTTTTCCCCAAAATACACCTTTTTCTTATTTCCCTTTCATAGAAAGGGCCATTGCCCTGGTAGGCAATGTGTTCTAATGCTCTCAGGCCAGGATACTGATGCTCTCTTTTCAAAGATTGACACCGGTACTCTGTCCAGGCACCTGAGAAATAGACGTGGTTCTTATTCCTGCTGCAAGGCAACAACCTTTAATGCACTGCCCTGTTTTTATTAAAAAGGCAGCAAACTATCAAAATGCTATTAGGGATAAAAGCTACACATGTGGGATTTCCCTGGTGGCACAGTGGATAAGAATCTGCCTGCCAATGCAAGGGACACAGGTTCAAACCCTGATCCTGGCTGTCTCAGAGCAACTAAGCCCCTGCACCAAAACTACTCAGCCTGTGCTCTAGAGTCTGTGTTCTAGAGCCTGTGTTCTGAAAAAAGAGAAGCCTGTGCATTTATAAAAGGGTAGTCCCCACTCACTTGCCACAACTAGAGAAAGCCCACCACAGCAATGAAGACCCAGGGCAGCCATAAATAAAATAAAGTATTTGTTTTAAACTTCATATGTGGTAATAGTAAAACAATGGAAAATGTGAACAAACACCAAACCTCAAGAGCATGCTCTGATTTAGATGGCTCCCTAAATGACTGGTGCTTACTGTGAAAGGCACATTGCAAAAGCACTTTTGCAGACTTGAATGAAAAGTCAACCCCACCATGACCCCTGTATAAGTTTACCAGTCAAATCCTACATTAATATGATGAGGGAAAAAATGTACCAGGCAAGTTCATGTATTAATTACACATAGGGATTCTTTTGTAATGTGGAAGAAACACAAAGGGCAAAAATTATTTGACCCCTTTCACTTATTTGTGTGTGTGTGGTTGTTGCTTATTTTTTTGTTTAGCTGCACCACACAGCTTGAAGGCTCTTAGTTTCCCAACCATGGATTGAACTCTGGCCTGGTAGTGAAATCACAGAGTCCTAACCACTGGCCCTCTAGGGAATTCCCTGTTTGACCCCTTTCTACCCAGATTTTACCAAGATGCATTTCGGTTAAAAGGTTGGTCCAAGGGTTTACCACCAACATACTGGACCATAGTCTCTTCATCAAAGGCTTGCTTAGCACTTATTGGCCAAAAGTCATTAGAGAAAGTGCCAAGAGATTCAAATTATTGACACTTTTCTTGCACAAGTCAAGACCTCAGACACAGCAATAGAAATCATATTCAACCTTTCAAAAGAGGTAAATGGATAATATACCTTGTTTGGTTTAGAGTGGGGGGAA